GAGAGGGCTGAAAGCCCTATGAAGCGGTATATAAGTCTAACTGCTATTGCTATTGCTATTTGGACTGAGAAGAAGCAACTCCACATCTGCACAGGTCAGGCCAAGGAATATCTGCTGTCATGTTTAAGACCGGGGCCTAATCTTCTGCTGCTCTTTCCACTACTGCAGGTTTTCCTTGCTCTAACTGTAGGCTACGGAGAAATCAGAAGCCTGCATCCAAATGGGTCAGGCCAAAAGATGTTTGCCCTTTGCCCTGTATCAAGGCACTGAGTTAAGACTCTAGGAGTTTTTGGTCTGGCCAGAGCTGCATTTTCTTCAATCTAAATCATGGGTGGGTTGGCATTACTGTTGGTTCGGCATGCAAAGTTTTCCCGACTCTTGGGGGCAGTGCTCATCTCCGTTTCAAAGCCGAAGAATCAGCGCTTTCGAACTGCTAGGTTGGCAGAAGCTGGGACAAGTAACGGGAGGTCACTCCATTACGTGACACTAGGGATTCAACCCACCAAACTGCCAACCTTTCTGATCGACAAGCTCAGCATCTTACCCACTGTGCCCCTTCTGGGTATATAATGGTATTCAGCTAATATAACGGCAAAACTTTTCATGTTGGGAGACAAGATGTCTCTCAAAAGCTTCTTTCCAAGGATATGCACAGAAGGTGCTATTGTCACAGGTATTCAGTTGCTACCTCAGAAAGACCCTAATAGTGCTTACCTCTTACATTTTTAAAAATCGCTGAAATATTACTGTAAATTTGAAATCTTTACAAAAATCTTTTGAAACTTTTAATTTGAAAATCAATTTTAGATTTTGAAATTGCCAGACTACATATTGAAGACCTGAAATTTGTTCAAGACACTAAGAGGATACATTTCCAAAAACCTAATATGACTAAAGGTGTTTAAAAAATGCCTGGTGCTACATTTTTAGTCAGAAAATAGTACTTTGAAAAGACTGGCTTCTCATCCTAGATGTATTTGCAAGATACGCTTATCTTAATCATGGTTTATTCAGCACCATTTTGGGAAACACTAAAATCCAGATCGGATTCACTTTGGACTGTTGTTATTATTATTATTAATAATATTATAACTACACCTGGTCTTACAACAGTGCCTTATATTTTATAACAAAAACTTGTTATAAGCCTCTTAATCTTTTTAACAATTTATCCTTTCATTTCAGTATTAATTTTCTATACTTTACTATCTACATAATTGGAATTACATTACAAAATCTTGGAAATCAAAATGTTGTTTGATTTCTCAATATTCTTAAATTGATTACTTATTTACGTTACTTGATTAGCAAGTACCAGTTACTTATGTCAGTATTTATAAGAACTGGTGGCTCTCCTAACTGCAATAAACAAGCTGCTAAGGCAAAGGGAAATTATGTAGAACCAAACTTGTTTTAAAACCTAACACGGAATGACATTTTTAACTAAATGGAGAAATGTTGACTTGAGTCTTATTTCTTACCTTATATTCATAGGCTTATATTGTCTAGAAATTACATAAAAGTATTTTTTGTCCTTCCACAAGGGACACCTGCTTAGTATAAATTGTAGACCCACTGAAGCAATTTATGGGGTCATGAAACACCTTCCTTGAACATTTTGTTGTATTTTTGAAGGTAATTTGTGATAATGCTAATGCACATTGATAAATATTGCTGCTCATGGAATTTCAATAGTGTAGGCATGTATTGGAGTGGTTTAAATCAGTGAAAACTATTTTAAGTAAAATAACTAAATATATAAAACCTCTGTAATTATTATTTTATTAGTATCAACCAGGAAATCAGATGTTCAATATTCTCCTGAGGTTATACATAAACAAATGCAAAATTGAAGTAAGAATCTTAAGTCAAAATTGTATAACAAAACAATACTCCATCAAAAAAGTGTGTAAAATTACAAGAATGCTATTTTTTAAACACTGGCACCATTATTTCATAACTACAGAATTCTCAATCAATCCCCAGATTATTCAGCCGAGTTCATAACTGCCAGCATTTTTATTGAAAATGCAAAAAATTTAACTTTGGTTTTCAAAGCAATCTATATTTTATCAAATCAGAAGTTGTTGGAATACCATGTTATATTTCACAGCTAAATGGAAAAAATGTACTCCCCCCCCACTGCTATTTTAACTTACAAAATGGGCAGACATCAAAAATGTTATAAAAGATAACAGAAAAAGATACATCTCATTTTAATTTGAGACAATACAAAATTTTGAAAATGGGCTAAAACTAGTGGATTGAAAACATGAATTTATACAAATCAATCAATGGTATCACTTATAAAAAACATTAGCAAAGTAAAGTATTTTATTGTGGGAGGTTTACTACCAGGAGTATCCATGGCATAAAGCCCACAATCATCACTTGACATGGTATCCTAAAAGGATTACAGTAATTTAGTATTTAACTTTACCTGCTTAAATAGAGTACTCTCCTCTTTATTAAAGTATTTGCAAATTCAATTTACTACTAGCCAATGAAGTCATACATGTAAATTCCTTGCAGATCAAAGTGAGAATATACGTAGTGGTTGCAGAAGTATCCTAAATTATTTTTCTCCTGGAAGTACTTCATGCCACAAAAATGGTATTCTAATTCTCATCCTTCCAAAACTGGCAAATTTATACAACTCAGTAGAATATTGTACATAGCAAAAGCTGAGCAAATACAAATTGGTTAAGAACATTTTTTTTATTGTGACCAGTTACATGGGGAAAAACATGTTTTGCATATTCCGGTATATATTTATTTCCTACCCTATCATGATTATATAGGGCATGTTGCTCAAAGCTCTTGTTATCATTCTATCAACTTATTACATGAAGAGACAAAATTCTGACGTGATCCCAAATGGGCAAAAACATAAAAAGTTAAAGTTTCCAGAGGGAAAAAAAGGGGAAATGTTGACTTTACAAGGGCACCTATTAAAAGGACAACAATACTAATTTTTTTAAAAATGTATTTACTTAGAAGCAATCAGAATGTCAACAGCTACAACTTTTTTCTCTTTTTTTTTGCAATTACAGAGTGGTATTTCGTTAACAGAACAACTATTATTTTATGAGGCAGACAACTCAAGATGAATAATAAACTACATCTGCATGTATAACTAATTTGTGCTGTGCACCAACAAGAACCTGCTTTAAACTTCCATGCCAATTTACAACCCCCATTCTGTACTAGGCAACATTAGTGGCCACTGAGATACCACTAAAGGACAAGTCTACCAAAAGACATTTTTGGTAGTTTTGAACTATACAAAAAAAGAAAAAGGAAAAAAGACACTGTACAGTTTAAAAACAAATCTTACACAGCCTTATGCTTAATTTTTTTCCTTTCTTTAAAAGGAGTGAGTTGTGTACAGGGGGGTTAAATGCTTTTATAGACAAGAAAATCTGATCTAAAAGACTTATTCATCATCTTCTTCCTCCTCGTCCTCCTCTTCTTCTTCCTCTTCTTCCTCGTCATCATCATCATCATCCTCATCATCATCTTCCTCTTCTTTCTTTTTCTTGCTTTTTTCAGGCTTAGGAGCTACCTTTTTGGCTGTATCAGGCTTTCCCTTAGCTCGGTATGCAGCAATATCCTTGGTTTGAAAAGAAAAAGAATTTTGTTTACACAACATAAGGTCTTGTTTACAATGGGATCAATATTATTCAGTTTAAATGTAAATCAGCCAAAACTGTAATTCTGAACATAAAATGTTTGGATGTCACCAAAGGCTGATTGCAGTTACACTTCAAGTTTAATGAAGAATTTAACTTTTCACACACTTCACTTAAAGAGTAGATGGTGCCACCTTCAGCATGTATAAACTATATTCCTTTGAACTGCAAAGTAAAACCTAATAAGCCAATCCTCAAGTAATTCATTTTTATTTCATTTGTTTTTAAAACTTTTTTTCATTGCCCCAAGTCTGTTTTTATATTCTAATTATTATTTTATATTGAGAAATATTCTGAGTGCTCCTAAAGTGTTGATGCTCAACTCATAAATTTATCAGGCTAATACCAAGCCTCATTCATGTTATTCAGTCCTTCCCTAGTCCCTATCCACAGCTGAAACATGGGAATACACCACATGTTATAATCCTACAAACAAAAGTGGTCTTTATAATATATTTTGGCAGGACCACAAATTTACATTCCAAATTCGTAAAATTCCTATTATAGTTGTGACAATTCAATAAATACTTTTTACATTTTCTAAGATAGGATCCTAATATTTTACATTAATCAACATGCAGTAAAGCCATAACATTATGAATCTATTGAAGTTGCTTACAAGATGCAATTATTTATCAATCCAAGTTACTTTTAAAAATTACTAGAGTCTTCCTAATACTTCAGCTTCATTTAAAAATATATTTTATTTAAATTCTGCCTTCATTATTTTTATAAATAACTCAAGGTGGAAAACATACCTAATATCCTTCCTATTTTCCTCACAACAACCCTGTGAGGCGAGTTAGGCTGAGTGAGAAGAACTGACCCAAAGTCACCCAGCTGGCTTTCATGACTAAGGTGGGATATGAACTCCCATTCCACTCAAAAGCAAACAAGACTAAATGCACTGATTTGTTTTTTCACCCAAATTGGAATTTTCATATGAAAAGTATTCAATACTCCCGGAAAAAAAAATGCAGAAACATATGGCTATACTCCTGATAATAAATGCCTGGAATTTATTATTAATGTTAAAATATGGATTTGTAATTTACCTTTTCATATTTCTCCTTCAGTTTACCAGCCTTCTTTTCAAAAGGCTGTTTATCCTCAGAAGATGTATTATTCCACATCTCTCCAAGTTTCTTTGCAACATCCCCAATGGAAAGACCAGGATGTTCTCCTTTGATTTTTGGACGATACTCAGAGCAAAATAAGAAAAATGCTGAACTGAAAATAAATTTACAGAACAATTAAGGTTTAACAAATAAATTTTGCATTGCAACTTCAAAAGAATTAGTATTTTTCACAAATAGTACATTATAACAGGACACAAAATAAGTGTAGCACTGTTTTCCAATTGTTAAATCTTCTGCGTGTATCAGTGTAATACTACTACATATATACAAACTATAAAAATCTACTTACGGAGGCCTCTTTGGTGCATTTGGATCCTTGAATTTCTTTTTTGACTCTCCTTTTGGGGGTACATAGGTTTTCATTTCTCTTTCATAACGAACCTTGTCAGCTCGTGCCATATCTTCAAATTTCCCCTTTTCCTTAGCGGACATAGTCTATACATGTAAAACATGACCAAAAAGCCACCTTTAATGAGAGTATCCTCCCTTCTACTTTGAAATGGAATCTCTTATGCATAAAAATATTTTAAAATTACATTTAAATAATTAAAAATGATGTTAAAATTGTATTAATATGTGTGCTTTGTATTATTATTTTAGCAAACAGTACCTTCCACCTTTCTGAACATTTCTTTGAGAACTCTGAGAAATTCACTGAAGCATCTGGGTGTTTCTTCTTGTGCTCTTCCCGGCAGGTTTGCACAAAATAGGCATACGAGGACATTTTACCTCTTGGCTTTTTAGGATCACCTTTGCCCATTTTTGAAGATTTCTAAAAGACAAATTAAAAATTTTGACAAACTATTTTGAATTTCATAGCAAGCAATTTGATTAAGAATGGTCAAATTTACATTGAGATAAAGCTGCACTCTTATCTGACTTTCGGTACAACTATTTATATTAAAAGTTATAATCAAACCTTCTCTGATTATCATCTAGTCTAGAAATGTATTAGCTCCTTATGTATGCGTACAGCCCCCAAACCCTTCCCTTCTGACAGAAGGGTTTTTGCTGTCCACCATCTTTTGAAATGTGGCCCTGGATAACAAAGGTCAACTATAGCCCTTAGCCTAGGAAACCTCTTCTGATCTACAAATTAAATATTGTTATAGCAATATATGCAAATCTGTAGGAAATAATTGGGAAATCCTCTGGAGACCTAAGGAAAGGAGAATCTCAGAAGTCTGCATAAACTATACAACATTAGGTTCCTGGTGCTGTAGTTACCAGCATATTTGGAGATAAATAGTAAAGATATAATCAGTGACAAATGCTCTATTTACAAAAATTATGTTATAGGATGCATGTTAATTTTTAGTGATAAGAATTCAAACAGCCTGGGCTTATACAAATTATTACTAGAGTTTCAAAGTGTATTTTCCTTAACTGCAAGGAATGTGTATACGTAACACATATCTATAAATTTTATGATACATAAAATTTGGGGGAAAATATTTTCTACTAATTTGGTTAGGAATCAAGGTCTACAACTTCTGAATATTTTATTTCTTTCAAACGAAATTGCCAAATATACCATTTATTATATAACCCAAAACTAACCTCTATGCAGGTATGTATATACATTTACCTGAAAAATCTGCCCCAGCTATTTTCTGTACTTTTCATTTTCTTCTTCCATGTATAAAATCAAATAAAAACCTTTTTTTAAATCATGTTCCTTTACCACCTTTAATGAGACCTGTCATGATATTCATGCAGAAACATTGTCCTTTACTCAACCTTCTAGTGCTGTGGTATTTAATCACAAATACTAACTTAGTATTAAATTATCCATTTTCATGTGCAACAACCAATTTCACCAACAGATGGAAACAGGTCACTGTCTGTGAAGGGGCATGCCACATTTTAGAATGCCAGAACATTTTTGGCAGATTAAGACCAGCCACAACATTTCTGGAGATGTTTTCAAACCAGACTGACATGCTAATACATCACCTATTCTTTGGAGTATGTGAATATAATTGAATAATATGTGAATATAATACAATATTGTGTCAGAGGGGAATGCATGTATTATGGACTTTCCAGGCACATAAGCGCACAATGAGCATATACATAGACAGGAATTTCCATGTGCCACTTTAAAACAAGCTTATAATGAATATTAAAACTGATTAGGAAAATTGTGGATTTAAAAAAAAGGGTTGCGAAGAATTCTTTCATTGTTTTTACATAATAGGCAATAAAATGACAAATGTAGTTCTGCAGACTTTTATAACTGAGCCCAAAAGATAAGTCCTACTTCTTAAAAACAATTGAGTTCTGAGCTGCCATCAACAGACTCAGAAAAAGATGTTGGTAAAGCAATAAAAAACTGCCCGGGCGTGAATTAAACAAGGACTTAAAAAAATATAACTACAGTAGTTTCCTACTACATAAGACCTTAAATCTGATCTAGCAATATTCAAGTTAAAATGTATAATTTAAATTAAGTATTTTGTTTTTTTCAGGTGTTTAAATGGTATTTCTTATTTGCATTAAACATTTCTTTTAAGGAGCAAAATACTGTTTCTGAGTTTTCTCAAGTATTCAAGAAGCACTTCTGCCTTAATTTGCACAATTTCAGTATGGAAATGTACAGTTCTGTCCAGTATTGCCATAAAAGCAATTTCCTACCAGTTTGGCCTGTGGACATGAAAATATTTTTTTCTAAACAAACATGTCCAGTCTAAAGTTTCTGTTAGGTAAACAAGACTAAAAAAATCACGCCTATATGGAAATAGAGGTCAGAAAAACTCTCAGCAAAAAAATAAGGTTATCTGAATTGGACTCAATAATCTAAAAAAAAAAGGAAAAAAAGAGGAACACATAAAAATATGTTGCTATATTTAACTTACCCTTATCCTAAGAAAACGTTATTTTAAATAAATTTATTTCTAAATTTACAATATGAAAAGCTTAATACATCTTAAAACTTTCTACTTGTTAATTTACATCCTTATAATAAAGCATTTTTAAAAGTACAATATAAAAATAATCACACCTTGTAAACATTTTAAACATAACTTTATTAAGTAATGGAGTCGGGTATTGTATTTAAAAAAAGCTGTGGGATAAGACGAAAGTCCACATTATGGGGTAAGC